TTTATATATGTATATATATATGTGTGTGTGTGTGGGTAAATTTTTTTTACACATAAAGCTTGTTATTAGTATTCACATATTTTCCCCCTCCAATTTTATTGCAGAATGCTGCTGTTGAGTTCTGTTGGACTGAAGTTCATCAATTGATGTATTGTATTGTATTATATTTGATTTTATATATATATATATATACAAAACCTTCTCATAACAATATTGTTTATATATACTTTTCTATGCAATATTGATATTAATCTGGGTTGTTTGTGCACTCAAGGTTGCAAAAGGTCGGATCCTGATGTTTAATGGTTCCAGTATTGTTCTGCATGCACAACATGTGCCTTTGATGTGAAGGAGAATAAATTTAGAAGTCGCTATCAGTCAGCCAGCTCATCTTCCAGCAGCACAGCAACAGATGGTGCTGTCAATACAGCAGAGCTCAGACAAACACAAACAATGCACAAGAAAGACTGTGACCAGGGCTGGCCCAACTTGAAGATTAGCTGTTATTTGTTCAATGTACTTTAGTCTGAGATCTAAGATTCTTAAGACGCATTGTACCAGGTTTGATTTCAGGAACGCCAAATGCTGTTGGTTTTCATGATTAATCACGATAACCATGAATAAAGGTTAAAAATAAACCATAAAGGTCAAAGGTGTGGAATAATTTATTAATGGACGAGTTTCAAAAACATTAAAAAAAAAGAAGTCTCCTATGCTCATCAAGGCTGCATTTATTTGTTAACAATACAGTAAACAGTAATATGAAAGAGGGGAGGATGAAAGGTCAGGCCTTCATTGGGCTCCCCAGCGAGAGAAGTGCAGAGAAGGCCTTAAAGGAAACCAATGGATATATACTCAACGACAAACCTCTTGTGGTGGTATCCTTTGTTTTTGGCATTACATTTCTGACAGAATGTTTTGTCTTTCACTCTCCAACAAAAACAGTGTGTTTTGCTTTTTACACCTAGAATTTATTTCTACAAATGTTTTTCTGTCAAATAAAATCATGCCTTAACTTAAACTCCAGCAATTCGCCCGATCTGCAAAACCTAAACAGGAATCTGCTGACTCAAAGAAAGGAGGGAAAAAACACTGAACTGGTGGGTTAAAAGACCAACAATTTTTGTATTTATGTAAATATCTTTATAGCTGTGTCTGTTGAAGTGGGTTGGTGAAAAATTTACTGACAGTGCACTCAAGGTTGCAAAAGGTCGGATCCTGATGTTTAATGGTTCCAGTATTGTTCTGCATGCACAACATGTGCCTTTGATGTGAAGGAGAATAAATTTAGAAGTCGCTATCAGTCAGCCAGCTCATCTTCCAGCAGCACAGCAACAGATGGTGCTGTCAATACAGCAGAGCTCAGACAAACACAAACAATGCACAAGAAAGACTGTGACCAGGGCTGGCCCAACTTGAAGATTATCTGTTATTTGTTCAATGTACTTTAGTCTGAGATCTAAGATTCTTAAGACGCATTGTACCAGGTTTGATTTCAGGAACGCCAAATGCTGTTGGTTTTCATGATTAATCACGATAACCATGAATAAAGGTTAAAAATAAACCATAAAGGTCAAAGGTGTGGAATAATTTATTAATGGACGAGTTTCAAAAACATTTGACAGAATGTTTTGTCTTTCACTCTCCAACAAAAACAGTGTGTTTTGCTTTTTACACCTAGGATTTATTTCTACAAATGTTTTTCTGTCAAATAAAATCATGCCTTAACTTAAACTCCAGCAATTCGCCCGATCTGCAAAACCTAAACAGGAATCTGCTGACTCAAAGAAAGGAGGGAAAAAACACTGAACTGGTGGGTTAAAAGACCAACAATTTTTGTATTTATGTAAATATCTTTATAGCTGTGTCTGTTGAAGTGGGTTGGTGAAAAATTTACTGACAAATTTTTTATTATAAATTATTATAAGTTGATAAAATAGCCTCTTAATTTTAAAGTTTTTTTTTTTTGGTGTACAGATCAATTTTAACCCAACATTTCTATTTGTTTAAGATGATGTTGATGTTCAATCATGAGCCTACAGGAGCTCCATCTTTACTTCATATCCTTTAAAATAAAAGCTGAGTTTTCAGCAGTCATTACTCCAGGCTTCAGTGTCACACAATCTTTCAGAAATCATTCTAATATGCTGATTTGCTGCTCAATTATAAATTTTAAATTATATTTATTATTTTATTTTTATTTATTTGTGAAATCATGATTTTTTTTATGGTTCTTTGAAGAATAGAAAGCTAAAAAGAACAGCATTTATTTGAAATAGAAATATTTTACTGTCACCTTTCATCAGTTTATTATGTCTTTGCTGAAACTTTTGAATGGTAGTGTATCATTGTTTCCACAAAAAATATTAAGCAGCAGTGACATTTTTTAACATAGATAATGATAACAAATGTTTCTTGAGCACCAAATCAGCATATTATAATGCTTTATGAAGGATCATGTCACACTGACAACTGGAGTAATGATGCTGAAAATTCAGCTTTGCCATTACAGGAATAAATTAGATTTCAAAATATATTCAAATAGAAAACAGTTCTTTTAAACTGTAATAATATTCCACAATATGAATGTTTTCACTGTATTTTTGATCAATTAAATGCAGCCTTGGCGAGCAAAAGTTCTTTCAAAAACATGAAAAAAATCTTAATTAGTCCAAACTATTGACCAGTAGTGTATGGAATATTGTGGTGGGTAATATGAAGCCCATTTGATATTCAGATACTCTTGATTGCTCTGCCTAGATGAGAAACAAATTCCAGTTTCCATCTGTGTCCAATGGCATTCCCAACAAGGGCCCTTTTAGCACTTTTGAAATTATACCTGATAAATGTCTTGGTAATTCTTAATATTTCCACGGCGGCTGGTGCATTTGTCATCATTGAAGTCAGTGGCAGAGTATCTCACAGATGGGAACTCCTCACGGGTGGCATTGAAGTACGAGCCGCAGGTCGAGTGCCTCCTCTCCCCTCCGCCCATGTGTGATTGATGACAACGTCTGTGTAGATCTTCACCTGCAGGAGCCGCATCGGTTCATTACCATGAGCCCACAGCACAACACTGCCTACCAGGACACATCAAAGGACATTGCTGTGCTTTCCTATCTACAACGGGAACGCAAAGAAGGTATCAAAGAACTTTGGAGCTCTAATACAGGGAGAACATTTTTAATGAGGAGATCTGCATTTAGATTAATATAATTCAGTCAGGGACATCACTTGGGCAGGACAACTGGGAACCTTCCTATGCCCAAAGGGAGAGAGGGCCCACCCACAAAAATGTGTTCAGAGCCCCGATTTCTATATGAAATAATATGTTTTGGTTTTTATTCTGGTTCTAAGGTGGTCGCATTGAATGGCTGATTACCCTGTCAATATGATATTCCCCGCCTATCAGGTTCTCTTCTTCACTCCGATTGGCTAATTAGCGCGTCAACGCGAAAATGCCCGCGTCTTTTTCCCACAAACAATTGGGTTTGCAAATCGTCATGGATGGGGAGAACTGGTGAAAATATACGGACTATAACGCACATGATGCTCAGAAACCCATATTTTAGGTTAGAATCAAAGTGAACTTGAAATGGTATGTGGGTGAGCCTTTTTTTTTTTTTTTTTA